TTGCTCTGTATCCTTGTTAATAGTTCCTTTGGTGCTACAAACGATTTACCAGAGCGTTTTGATTACCATAAGCACCTGCGTAGTGGGCCCGAGGGACAAGAAAAATACCGCAATGTTTAGATGAGGGCTTACGGGACTGGTACAGGGAGCATTTTCTTATAGTCACAATACTCAAATGTGCGTAAAACGAAAGATGTGCATAGACGGATTTTTGCACAGCGGGTTTAAACGTTCATAGCGTTTTGCTCACAGAATCAAATGACATGATACAAATCGGATCTTGAGCGTCTTGACGTCGTCTACAATATGCAATGTAGATCGCACGATTTCATCAAGTATTGACGACACAGCGTCAGTTTGAACGAACGACACTGTAACAGTCACTACAGTCGTAGAACACAAATTATGAAGAGTCACGAGTTGGAAATGTCTCACAGCCTCTACAAACCCCACGAGCCGAGGTACATTGATGTGAATCATGTCAGAATGTGTAGTTTGTCTAGCCTGCAGTGGGGTACTCTATAGTGAGTACGACCCCTTTGGGTTTCCTATGTGTATCCACCTGCTTGCTAGTTCAACCACTTCTTCATGCAACTATTCTCTCGACTCCCTTTGGCCTAGGCTACTAAGCCTAGGCCCTACTACTATTCAACATGGTATCAGATCCTGTTCCTCCTTGGCCTGCGGGCCCACCTATCGCTTCCGCTGCCTGTCGTTCTGTCGCGCGCCTCGGGCGCGCGGTGTTTCCTTCTCGCCGTGCGCCCCGGGCGCGTGGCGGTTTATTCTGCCCGCCGTGCGCTCGGGGCGCACGTCGGTATTCTGCCCGCCGTGCGCCCCGGGCGCGCGGCGTCTTCCTGCCCCCCGCGCGGTCTGCTCTCACGCCGCCTGCGCGCATGCCCCATGTCTGCGCGCGGGCCTGTTCTGCCCGCCCGTACCCTGCCCGTCGCGGCGCCCTGCAAGGCGCCGCTCCTGCTCGTAGCGACGCCCCTGCGGGACCCGTGCGTCGCCGCTCCTGCTCGTCGCAACGCCCCTGCGGGACCCGCGCGGCGTCGCCCTGCTCGTCGCGACGCCCCTGCGGGACCCACGCGGCGTCGCCCCTGCTCGTCGCGGCGCCCCCTGGTCGCCGCCCCTGCGCGTCGCGTCGCCCCTGCTCGTCGCGGCGCCCGTGCTCGTCGCGGCGCCCCCTGGGCGCCGTCCTTGCTCGTCGCGGCGCCCCCCCCCCCCCGGGCCGCCACCTCTTCATCACCTGCGCTCGCGCCTACTTTGCAGCCGCGCGCGGGCCTGCCCTGCACCAGCGACGCCGCCCCTGGAGCAGCCGCCCCTGGACCCAGAGCAGCCGCCCCTGGCCCCTAGAGCAGCCGCCCCTGGTGCAGCCGCCCCTGGACCTCAGCAGCCGCCCCTGGCCCCTGGAGCAGCCGCCCCCGGTGCAGCCGCCCCTGGACCCCGCGACGCCGCCCCTGGACCCCGCGGCACCGACCCTGCTGCAGTCGCGACGCCGCCCCAGGGACCTCGCGAGCCGCCCCTGCAGCAGCCCACGGCGCCGACCCTGCAGCTGCATGCGACGCCGCTCCTGGACCCGGTGCAGCCGCCTTCGTGCGGCCCGTTGCCGCCCGTTGCTGCCCGTGCCTGTGCTGCCCGTTGCCGCCCGTTGCTGCCCGTGCCTGTGCTGCCCGTTGCTGCCCGTGCCTATGCTGCCCGTTGCTGCCCGTGCATGTGCTGCCCGTTGCCGCCCGTTGCTGCCCGTGCCTGTGCTGCCCGTTGCTGCCCGTGCCTGTGCTGCCCGTTGCCGCCCGATGCTGCCCGTGCCTGTGCTGCCCGTTGCTGCCTGTGCGTGTGCTGCCCGTTGCCGCCCATTGCTGCCCGTGCCTGTGCTGCCCGTGCCTGTACTGCCCGCTGATGCCCGTGCCTGTGCTGCCCCTGCTCTTCCCCCCCCCTCCCCCCCCCCCCCACCCCCCCCCCTCTTCTTCGACTCCCTGCTGCGCGTGCAGCCGTGGAACGGAGGGTATGGGGGTGGCGGGTATGGGGGTGATGGGTGTGTGACCCGTCCCCGGCTCCTCCTCCTCCTCCGTCTCCCACTGCTACAGCTGCTGCTGAGGGGGGTGGATGTGTGGGAGCCTTCGGAGTGGTGCTTGGGGGGTGGAGTGGGAGTGGAGCCAGGGGTTCAGCAGGGGGTGTGTGAAAGGGGTGTGGGACAGTTGGGGGAGGTTGAGTGGAGGCAGTAGTCTTGTCGTCCGCAGTGCCTGTAGTCCGGGTTCCTTGCCGGTGGTAGCCCAGAGAGCCTGCTGCGCCTGTCGCCCGTGGGTCCGTTGCTCCTGCCGCTCGTCTTAGCCGTCGAGCCTGTTACTCCTGTAGTCCGGGGCCCTTGCCACCGGTAGCCACTGTGCGCGCTGCTCCTGTTGCCCGTGTGTCTGCAGCTTCAGCCGTCGCCTCCCATCTTCTCTCCTCTCACAGTTCCTCATCCTTCTTACTTGCCCTCTGTGATAGCCTCTAGCTTTGCTTA